CTGCAAATTCTGAACTAAGCACAAGCCTTTTACACAACTGTTGTCTTGAAAGACAAATATCTGATACTTCTATTTACACAATGTTGTACATTTATTTGGTTATACTGGTAGTTCTCACAACAGCTGTTTAGGTTCAAACCTAGCAACCACTTAAATTCATAATCAGATTTATTGGCAAAGTGTCCTTTGGTTGGTGGTGTCTCTCAAGTAGTACAAAACAATTAAATCTTATTGCAGCTCTGGTAGACAAAATACTCAGCTGTCTTCTAATTTTCACTGCACTACATTTGGTTGAGCATCTCCTTACATGGATCAAACTGATTTGATTGCAACATATGTACTATTGTCAATGATAGGGGAATCATTGGTTTAAAATTTGACCTGTTGTCCCATATCTTCACAAGTTGACCTGATTTCCTCAGAGCTATTTTGGCAATTCTGTGATGTCCTTTGGTCAAACTACAACAGCACTTTTCAGTCATCTCTTGGAGTTTTTTCTTTGCAATCAATTTTAGTGGCAAAATGATAACTCTACGTTTCCCTTTTCTATGAAGTGTGTATTTTTTTGAGATCTTAAAAATACCTCTAATGCACATTACATGTAAAACAGCCAAAAAGCCTGATCTTTCACCATACAGTAGCACACACAACAAACTGAACTCAGCATCCAGCAAACATTTATGGAAGAAAAAAAAATCTTGTATCAGGCACAATCTTGTCAGGTCTACATTAAACTGGCACAGGTTGTCATAGCATCCAAACAAAAATACAATTGCTAAATGAAGCTAAAGCCTGGCTGAGCCTGACTAATACACCAGTCCCAACCTTTCTTCATCACCTATCCGCTTCAGAAATTCTTGGCTTCACTGGTGGTCTATTTCTTTCAGTGTTGAGTTCAAAGACGATAATGCGTTTTAGTCCAGGTTTTGAGTCCGTTTCAATTTCAGACGCCTAAATATACACTCTCAAGCATAAAAGTTATATTTACTCCTCCAGATCAAAAGTTATATCGTCTCTTACATAAATGAAAAATGAAATAGAGGGTGATAAATTAGCTGAGGAAATTTATTCAATTTGTTATTTAAAAAAAAAAAGAAAGTAAATAGTAAAAGGTTCAAGTATTGCTGAAATGTTATTGTTTTATACAATTATGGACCGAAAAATGCAAACCATTTATAGCAGTTATCATATGATAATTGAATAGCAAAAATGTAGAGCTTGTGATTCATTGAGTTGCTTAATTTATATAAAGCTGCCTATTGGTTGATGCACCAAACAAGAATTTTAAAAAATTAGATTCAGAAAGTGCATTTGTATAACCAAAAAAAGTCTATACTCAATAATCCAGATATACAATCCAACAATTTTCAGTCAGGTCATCTGGACAGTTTTTTTTTTTTTTTT